CAGCTGATGTTAAACATTTATTTTTATTATTTGGTTTGCATCTTCTGGCCGGAATAATATATTAGTCACTTGTATTTTCTAGAACGTTATCAGGACGAGAATCTTTTCCTTGTTGATTTTCAAGGTAAGTATTTTTTAAAGGATGCACTTGTATCAAATTTCATTTCAGGTTCAAGGTAAGTTATATTTCTTTCTATTTCAGGATCTTCGTTGTTGTGTTTTGTTTCCAGGTAAGGGTCTTTCACCTTTTTACTTTACGGTAGAAGAAGTAAATTCCTATGTAATGTCCGTGTCTTGTTTGATCTTGGACTATCTTTTCAAAAAAAAAACAGGTATGTTTTGATTTGGCTGCTCCATAACAAAGTAAGGGGTATCTTCCCATTTGTCGGCTAATTTATTTTTTCCACGAAGCTTTACATTTCGAACTAAAACTAGGTCACCTTTATTTATTGTAGCGGCTTTTGCTCTGATATCATATCTTGTTTTATATTTATCAGCTGAATGTTTCGCATTGTCTTCGGCTTTTTTATAAGCAATAGATAGACGTTCTTTGAGTTTTCTAACGTTTTCAGTTTGTGTGATGTTGTTGTTTTCATCTGTTGGTAATCCTAGAAATGCATCTATTGCTTATATTGGATGTCTACCAAACATTATAAAGTATGGGGAATATCCAGTGCTAGTATGAATGGGGACATTGTATGCATGTACGAGTGGGGCGACTTGTGATTTCCAGTCTGATTTTTCATTATTTTCCAGGGTTCCTAGCATTTTTTGTAATGTTGAATTAAAACGTTCTGCCTTTCCATTGCCGATTGGGTGGTACGGTGTGGTATGACATTTTCCAATACCTGCTAATTGACAAAGATCTTTAATAAGTGAAGATTCGAAATTTGCGCCCTGGTCACTGTGTATTCTTGATGGGAAGCCATAATGTTCAATAAATTGGTCAAAAAGAACTTTTGCGGTTGTTTTAGCTGTTTGATTTTAAGTTGGATATGCTTGAGAATATCTAGTAAAATGGTCCGTAACGACTAAAATGTTTTCAAATCCACCTTTTGATTTTTCTAGACTAAGGAAGTCAACACAAAGAATTTCCATTGGAGTTGTAGAATTTATAGTAACTAATGAAGCTGTTGCGGGTAATGTTTTTCTTCTAATACATCTGGGACATTGTTTTACTTTTTCTTCTATCCACGTATCCATGCCTGGCCAATAAAATCGTTGTCTGAAAAGTGATATTGTTCGATCTCTGCCCTGGTGACCTAAGTCGTCATGAAGTGTTTGAAATATATCTTCTCGGATGTTTGCTGGTAAAAGTAATTGAAGGTAGGTATCATTTCCGTACGTTCCTTGACGATATACAACATTGTCTCTGAGTACTAATTTTTCCCCGTCACGTAAGTATTTCAAAACACCAGAATTCATTGACGAGGTTCGCTTAGCGGAAGGCCTTGTTCCTTCTTTTAGGTGTTGATATACTTGCGATATGATGTTGTCGTCGTTTTGTGATTTTTTCCAGTCTTTAGAACAAAGAGATTCGGACTCAACTAAATCTTCCGGAGGAAGTTCTGTAGATGAGGATTCAACTTCAGGTAAGTTTTCAGGGGTAAGTATGCTAAAGACGAAAGGAGCTTGTTTGGTGTTGACATTTGCAGAAAAGGTAAGTGCGTTTATAGTTTCTTTATCTATTGTAGAATTGTATTCTTCAGTATTGCTTTGGTATTGTCTAGATAAACCATCTGCATCTGCATTTTGTTTTCCACTTCTGTATTTAATTGTGTAATCATTTCCTGATAATGCAGCCAGCCAACGGTGCCCTGTAGCGTCTAGTTTTGCTGCAGTCTGAACGTAAGTAATAGGGTTGTTGTCAGTAAGACCTTCGAATTTATTGCCATAAAGGTAGTCGTTGAATTTTTCAGAAACATCCCATTTTAGCGCCAAAAAATTCTAGTTTATGTGCTGGATAGTGTTTTTCAGATGGTTTGAGGCTTCTACTAGCGTAGGCTATAACTCTATCTATTCCACCTTGTCTTTGATATAGTACAGAGCCGAGTCCTGTTGATGAGGCATCTGTGTGAACAATAAACGGAAGTTGATAGTTTGCATAAGCTAGCACTGGTGGATTTGTTAATTTGGAAATAATTGTATCAAACGCTTTCTGTTGTTTCTTCTTTCCATGTAAAAGGTACTCTTTTCTTTTGATGATTTTTGTTTCTTGTTGGTTGAATAACCAATTAAAAGATCATTTAAAGGTCGAACAACTGAAGCATATCCTCTTATTAATCTTCTGTAGTAGCCAGTAAATCCAAAGAATTGTCTGACTTCTTTTGTAGTTTTAGGTACTGGCCATGATTTAACAGCTTCTATCTTTTCAGGATCTGCATGTATTCCTTCCTCTGAAACGACATGTCCAAGGTTAGTAACAGATGATTTCAAGAACTCGCATTTACTTGGTTTTAATTTTAGACTATTCTGAGCAAGACGACTGAAAACAGCTTCGAGATGTTCTATATGTTCTTGAAAATTTGTTGAAAAAAATGATGATGTCGTCCAGATAAATCAAACAGTCTCATAAGTTGAGGTCGCCCATACATCTCTCCATGAGTCTTTGAAAAGTTGCGGTGCATTTGTTAGTCCAAAAGGCATCCGGTTACATTCGTAAAATCCTAGTGATGCTACTGAAAAGGCTGTCTTTGGTTTGTCTTCTTCTTTTACAGAAACTTGCCAGTAACCTGCTTAAGATCGAGTTTTGAAAAGTATTTGGATCCAGAGAGAAGATGAAGAGTATTTTCTATTCTGGGGATAGCATAGGCATCTTTGATTGTACGTTCATTTAATTTACGGTAATCCACACAGAAACGAATTGTACCATCTTTCTTTCTAACGATAACTACGTTGGATGAATAAGGAGTTTGATGGTCTGATTGCGCCACACTCAATCATTTCCTTTAGATGTTCACGGACTTCTTTAAGTAGAGCAGGTGGTATATTTCTATGAGATTGTTTGAATGGCTTCTCGTCTGATAAATGACTTTCATGTTCTATAAGATCAGTATTTCCTAAATCTGTTGGACCTTTTGAAAAAATATGCTGCCATTTTGTAAACATTTTGTACACTGTACTCTTTTCTTCTTCTGATAATTTAGTGTCTTCTAGTTTCACTCCAAATTGCTCCTTATTATCCTCTTCATTGACAACGTGTTGATTGTCTGTAACTTGATCCTTATTTGTTTGTTGTTTGTCAAACATTGGAGCTTCGCGTAACACTTTTACTTCATGAAGTTGACATAAGTTGGATTTTTCTCAAATAGATATCGGCTTTGCAGATAAGTTGAAAAAACGAACAGGTATTCTAGCTGACTTTCCAGGTTTTGCCAATGTTACTACACGAGGACAAACGCTCACTCTCGCGGAACAATTATATTCTGAACAAGATTCAGTAACAGCTGATTCCTGATTCCTTGATTTTCTTTCTATACCAGTGATAGTTTTGGATTCGTATGGTTGTAAAGTGTATCGTTTGGTTGATTTAACTACGAGGGTTGTCCAAAAAATTCGTGCACTGCAGTTATTGTCGTGAGGGTTATTGATAAAACAATATGAATTATATATCACTTGAAGGGGAAATCTATCTCAAACAAGAAAACAAAAGATAAAGCCATGTAACTGGTATGTTGTGAAAATGAATTGTCATACAGTAACCTTAGTCACGAAATACCGACGCACGACAAAAAATTGAGTTAGTTCATTACTGTGATTGTATTAATTTTTTGTTGCTTGTAAAGTGGCATTTGCTTTTTATGTCATAATTTGTTTTACTGTCAATAGAGGAATGATTGATGCAAAGTATTTTGTAGTTTTTATTGTTCTTAAGCAACGTACATGTAACATTTTCCACCAGTGCATGAATATATCTGACAACCCTTGTCACATGCGCCGGCCTTACAGGCGGACGTCTGCCTGACCGGTTGTAATCATATAAACCGACTTCTTCAAAGCGTTATTGCCATTTAAAAACCAGCCTTCATGACACTGAACTGTCCCGCTTGCCTTTTTAAGTTCTTTGTAAGTATCTATCGGTATTTTACCAAACTTGCGCAAAATTTAATGATCGTTCGTATTTCCAGACGTTAAGCGACTGACATTTTCACGTAATGACAGTATTGACGACAACACGGAAATATTTGTTTACGAGCGTTACAATAAGAAAAATGACGTCATATTTTTCTAGTGACGATGGAAATACGTACACATACTTTTCCCTGAATTTTGACGTTTATATATAGTGTTTAAAGGATATTGTGATGCATCAAAGTAATAAACTAACCCAATATTTTGTCGGGCGCCGGTATTACGTTACCAAGGTTACTGTATGGTGATTCGTTTTCTCGACATGCCGGGTACACAACCTTTTCTTTTGTTTTCTTATTAGATATAAATTTCCCCTTCAAGTGATATATAATTCAAGCCTTTTTATCAATTACTCTTGCGACAATAACTACAGTGCACGAATTTTTTGGACAAGCCTCGTATACCAACCGAATCATCTATTAAACTGTCAATAGCCATATTCCATGCTTCAGGAAGATCTGTATGCTGTTTGTTTCCTATTTCAGAACCACACATACGAATGAAGTTTGTTCCAATAATAACTGGTAATGTTAAGTTATTTTCTGGCATTGGTACAATGAGCACTGGGACATCAAAACTTTTATCTTTTATGAATGGTACTTTTATTCTGGCTTCTATATAACCCAAATATGGCACTATTTCTCCATTTGCAGCATTTACTTGTAGGTTGAATTGATCTAAGGAATGAAGTGTTGGTTTGTTTGATAAGGAATTGTAAAAATCTATAGACATTGTTGTAACCATGGAGCCAGTGTCTATTAATCCTTTGGCTGTTTTTCCCTCTATATTGATATCTCCAACATTGTTGTTCCCAACTATCCTATCATATAATGTCGTTTTCTTGGGGCTTTTGTCATCTACCATGCCTCCTATCTGCCCCCCGACAGAGACGCCTTCGAGTTTAAATCCATTCTCTTTTCATTTGTATTACTCTCTGTTTTTCTTTGTGTTTCTTCTTTTTCTCTGTAATATTGTGTATCTGTCCTTTCACGATCTCTGTCTCTCCATTCTCTTCCTTTATTATCAGTGACTCTTTGTCTCTGTTCTTCTATGTTTTTCTTATCATCCTGTCTATAATATCTGTAGTCTTTCGTATATCTATATTCTCTTCTGTCATTATCTCCACTATAACGTGACTGTCTTTCATTTGTATTATATATGTCTCTTTCATGGTATTGTCTTCTGTCTCTATCAAATCTGTATCTATTCTCATATTTATCTCTTCTCTCTCGGTAATCTCTATATTCAGCTTCTCCTCCATCTCTGTTGTACTCCTTGTAAATTCTGTTATCATTTCTTCTATCACTCTGATCATATCTCCTCCTATTTCTGTAGTCATAATTGTCTCTATATGTATCTCTTCTATCTATTCTATATTCTCTATTCGATCTATATCCTTGTCTCTCTCCATCATATCTTCTCCTCCCTCTATCGGTTCTTTGCATGTCATTATACTTATTCTTCTCTTTGTAATCTTCTTCTCTCCTCTTCTTCATTTCATCTTCTAACTGAGTCATTCTATGAGCCAAATCTTTCAAAATTTTTCCTCCGACTACTGTCTCTATCTGTCTATCTACCACTCGTTCTTTCCCTTCTATGCTGTATTCTTCACCTAACATTTCGTATTCTTCCAATCTCACTTTCTTTCTTAATTCTTCAAATGACTTAGCAGTCTCAAAGTACATTCTGGTAGCATTCTTCAACTGTTCACTCTTTAACTGTCTCCAAAATCTTGTCTTTAACATTTCATCTTTTTGACTCTCGCTTACATGTCCTTTCTCAATAGCTTTCTGTACAATAGTTTCTAATCTTATTCCCCATTCTGTTATTCCTTCCTCACTTCTTTGTTTTGCCATATAAAATTCAGACAGAACGGATTCACCTGATCGTACATTTCCATAAACATTTTCTAATTTGCTGATTATTTCCCTTGTTGAAGTTGAAGGTGGTATTGTTAATAATATTTTTCTTGTTTGACCACGAAGAGAATTTCTCACTGCTTGTCTTAACACATTTTCATCATACATATCAGAATCAATAATCACTTCAACCTCTAATTTCCACTCTTCAAATGTGTTTTCTGTCAAAAAGGGAATTGAAGGATTTAATAACTTATTTTTCACGTGTTCATTGCTTTTCATACAGCGTTCATTCTCTCTATCTTTTATCTTTTCTCTGTCTGTCTTTCTTAAACTTTCCCTTTCATTTTCAAACTTCATCTTTCTTTCACGTAAAGGCTCTTTCACTAACATATCTAATGAGTTCTCTTGTTTATTCAATTCACTTTCTAACCTATCTTTCTCTTCTTTCAACTTTCTCAATCTCAGATCCTTTCTCCTTTGTATCTCTTTCTTTATTCTTAATGTTTCAAGTCTTTTCCTTTCTTCATCTCTTCTTTTCTCTTCCTTCAATATTTTATTTAGTTTAAGTTTTCCTCAACAGCTCTTTGTTTGATATGTTACTGTTGAATTATTTCCTCCAGTTCTTTCTCTTGTATCATCACTTTCATCATACAATGTTTTGTTTTCTGCTATATCACTTCCATCTTTCACTTTTGTTATTAGTGTCTGTCTTTCTTTTGTATTACCGTTTGGCTTTTCAGTATCATTCACTTGTTGTTCTCTTTTTCTCTGAATTAAGTTTCAAATTGTCACTATCATTTAACACTAAATCATTGTCTTGAAAACACTCATTTGGTTGTCCAACTTCTATAAAAGTTCCACTATAGTCAAACTTTAACTCGTCCAGTGTAGAATACAGAATATCATCGTCACTATGTTCATTTTCAACATCACTTATATTACTATCATCACCATGTCCATTATCATCCACCATACTTCCATTTATAGAATTGTTGAAATTAATTATCTCACTTTCTTTTCTTTGAGTAATACTTGTCTCTTGTTCCGGTAATTTAAGTGTATCTAGCACCATTCTTTCTTGTTCTTTCATTTTCTCTAACATATATTCTTTCTCTAACATTTCTCTCCTACGCTTTAATTTATCATACTTTTCCTTTCTTATCCTCTCTTGTTGTAATCTTAAGTCTCTCATTTCCTTTTCATGTTTTTCTTTTAACTCCCTTTCTAATTCTTGTAATTTAATTCTTTCTTCTTCATCCTCTTTCCTCCTATGTCTTTCTTTCAACCTTCATTCTCGTTCTGACATACTCCGCCATTATACTCTACAAAATATAGATATTAGATAATATCTGATTGATGTACACAATTTCGCACTTTATTCCATAATTTCACTCACACATATCTTAATTCACAAGATTTTCCACAATTTTCAACTTCTATTCACTGTCGCTTAAAAAATTTACGCAAAACTTATTAATGTAAGTATTAAGTTCAAAAACTTCAACTGGATACTAACAAACAAGAAAATAGGGTAAAGAAAAGGGATATTTATATCTTTGCACAACATAAAATTTTCTATTTGCGCACGGATATAAAATATGTTACAACGCTGACTCGATCAGTCAATTAGAATTACGAATACAATAAAAAGCAGCACTACTGAAAGTTAATTCGGAAAATAAACTTTTATCTTTTATAAATGGCAAAAGTGTGCACACAAAAATTTAATGCCTTTAATTTTTTTTTAATAATTTCACTTAGACAATGATGATATCAAAAATTTAAATCAAAAAGACAAACAACAATAAATTCACTCACCACACACCTTGAATGACATAAATAATCCAAAAGCACAATATCACAATCACACAAAATATATAATAAATCCAATCCAATGTTCTATACACTGATACACTCACAATTGATAAATATCCTTTCAACTAATCAAATGGTATCCTCCGTTGATGAATGTTCCTATCCTCCGTTGATGAGAGTTCATATCCTCCGTTGATGAATGTTCCTATCCTCTGTTTATGAATGTTCCTATCCTCCGTTGATGAATGTCACTATCCTATATTTGTTGTATATCCTCTATTCCTAGTATTGTAGAATTGTCAGTTGAATAATGTAAGGTACCGTCAAAATTATTTCAAATTTAAACTTTAGAAGAAAATCTTCTATAGATGTAAAATTGCTTTACTGCATTTTAATCCAAATAACCCCATAAACACCGTTGGGCGCCATTTGTCACCGGCCTCTCAGCTTCCGTATAACAGTATAAGGTGTGTAGGTTTGAGTAATGACAAAACTAGTTCATAAAGTTTATAAATGGGGTTTAATATAATTACTTTATCAATAAATATGATAAAGAATAAAACAAATCTGAAAATATAAAAAATACCATTATACAAACATAACATATAGAATAATCATTTGACAGATGATAGCTGTCACAAAATGTAAACAAACGAAACAATATACATGTAGGTGTGATGGCGCGTTACAGTCCGCTAACAAAACACAAAATTGATTTCGTTAATAGTATTACATTATATAATTATCAAACATAAGATTTACAGTATATTTAGAGATATGTTTATAAAATACCAAAATCTTAAATACCTGAATAAATATTTAATATATCCAGAGATATTTGGTATTTTAACTTGCACTACAAAAAGCGTATACAATTTGAAAAACGGGTTTGACTAGAAAAGTAAATTATGATTGGTTGAAAAGTGTCAAGTGTATAAATAGATCAAAGATTAGTTATTGAAAATATCGGGAAAAAACTACGGAGTACAAGTCGGGTCATGTTTTACAAATAAACAAAAACAACGGAATAGATTTATGATATTTTTACCCTACGACAATTTCATAACACATCCCATTTGCTATAATGTTGAAGCTGTGCACTGTGGGTGGTTCTTACATTTCAACTTAAAAGGTCGTTAGAAATAAGAGATTTATTTTGTTGCGAGAGCTAAGGTGGTTTAAGGTATTTTTGAGCTTTAAAATATGTTGTTGAAGTGTTTCCCGAATTGATGTGATTTTAACGAGCGCATATCTAAGGGAACTTTCTATTGCATGATACAGATATGATTTCATAAGTGGGTTACTGTCACAAATTGTGTTGCCCTGTGTATTAAGAGCATAGGTAGTCTTAATCTAAAACTATAAAGCACTTTGGTCCTCGTTAAGTAATAAAAAAAAACAAGTAAACTGGAATGTATTCATAATTTATTCCTGTATTAATGATATCTTAAAAGGGTATGGTATGGGTACAGACATACAGGCAGAATGAAAATTGCATGATCTTAACTTGTGATAACTGATATATTCTTAACGAAAGGAAGTTTGGGGTCACGTACAAGACTCGTGTATGGGTTATTTGTCTTTCAATTTGTAAAGAACGTATCAATGATAATGAATAGGTTTGACTTGCTTCTTTACTAAATATGTAACATTTACTAGAGCCGTCTTGTGGTGTTACATTTAACAGTTTTATGTAAGATTTGAATAAAAGATTTTTTCCCGAAGCCGATAAATAAACAATTAGTATTAAAAGTCAATAATACTAAGTATTGGTGTATTTAAGCAACGTCCATTTCCAAATCAGGAAGGCTGTGCGAACAGTATCCGACATTGAATTTAACTGAGAAAGATCTAAAAATAGACTATAATTTAGTAAACTAGTAGTGTATATATCAACAAAGGATATCAACGTTTATGGATTGAAGCCCTTATTAAACATTAACTTAATTATTTAAAAGAATATAAATCAAACATTACCTGTTATGGAAGCTACGTAAATATACTAACAACTTGAAAAAGTTTCTTTAATGCCGAATATGTTTTGATTAATATGCTAAGCTGGCATTAGTTTTTAATCTACAAGTGATTATAGTTGTAATGTTATTACGAAATACAAAACGTATTCCAATATACCCAGAAAACAATTTTCAAACTTTACAAACTTTACAAACAATGCACTTAACGAAAACCGTAAAAACTGTGTTTATTTAAAGTGTTCTATTTCTGTGAATGTTCTGTTTGTGAGTCATCAACTTCACGTGAAAGTACAACCACTTGCTGAGAGTTAAAATGGAGTTTTTCCTCATGCTAAAAATAACGTCTATTTCCCATCAAAACTACAATAGGTAATCATTGAACGATTTACTGTTAAAATATCACCAATGGCTAAATTGATATAATGAAACCATTGTTTACACCAGCTTTTATTTCAATACAATTTGATGAATAAATATCCATTTACTTGAGTAATTTACTATAAAGATTCTCAGACCGTCCAGAAATATCTACTACCTACAATTAAAACGAATGTACATCAAACTTGTGTGGAACTGTGTCAAAAGTTATCAAGTTTATCAGAAGTGTATTTCAATGGATTATTCGAAAACTAGGTTTTACATGTATCATTTTTATCATAGATTAATGAAAACGGATCCGCTAAAGTAATAAAACACAAATCACAGTACTTGTGTGCTTTAAATTATGTATTGCTTTTGATAGTTTATCTTGGAGAGAGATTCCGTGACTCTCGAATACACGAATTTGAAGAAGCTATTATACGAGTAGCGGTTGGATGGACTCAGAACTACTTGTGGCATTCCAAAAGCACTTGAATGAATAAGTTGTTAATCAGGTCATTCTTCTGGTTGATAAACTCGCGACGCATATGTCGCTCGATTCGGTTAATCGTTCGAAGCTTCAAAGTACTGCTTTTCTAGCGGCATAATATTGTATGGCCTCATTGCAAAATCAGCTCGTGTACTACAGCCTTGTGATGTGGGTCTATTTTCGCCTATGAAAGCCCCTGGTTCGCCTCATACGATCATGCAGTAGTAAACTGATCACAAAATGTTTTGGGTCAGTACAATATCGGTCTAATTTAAGAAAAATTATATTTTTATAAAACTGAAATATTCGTATCTTGTTATGCGGTAAATAATTATTAACAGTAAACTGTTCATCAGTTAAGGTGATCAATCAACGTAAGAGTTAAATTGTCTGCGTGTGGGGGTTTGACAGATATAATTAACAAACAGTTCAAATAAAGTTTACTGTGATGTACCTTAATATATCGTCATTATAATTATTGTGATATACGAGAACTATTCAAATATTGTTCCCTCATTATATTCAACTCCAGCAGATATACAAAGTTTCAGTATCCGGATCCAATCCAATTAAGGTAAAGAAACTTGATCCATAACTTTAAATGCAATCACCTACATTCATCATTAATAACGCGAAACTCTCTTGTTGTTTTGGTAAATTACTAATTTGTTTCAACTCCCGAAAGCCTTACACTTTCAGTATAACACCAACAACATATGTGTAGATAAGGTTAAATTAAGCCAAGTTGTCTTTTTAGAATGATTACGGTTATAATTTCCCTTTAAGGCCAAACCAAATATTTTGTGGTGTTGTGTGACGGGGAATTGAACCCCGGTCTGCTGCGTGACAGGCGGGGATACTCACCACTATACTCAAGAACAAGAAAAGATGCCTATATGCTTCCTCGTTTTGATGACACTGTAGACCTTTTAGTGGGATCTAAATTTTTCTCTAAACTTGACTTACGCAGTGGTTACTGGCAAGTTGAGATGGAGGAAGATTCAAAGCCCTATACTGCTTTTTCTGTTAGTAACCTTGTATT